ATAATAATGATAATAATGATAATAATAAAAATAGTAATAAAACAACCCCAAACTCTTAAACCTAGGGGACAGAAACATAGCCAGAGGCTCACCTGGAGGAAGTCAGCTGTTTGTTGAGGCAGCTTGGTTCCAACAAACTTGAAGTGTTCCTTATGGAATTTACTCTCGAGGTGACTGTTCATCTCGTCATCGTAGAAGGTCCGATATTTGCATAACGAACAAACAAACTGGATCCTGTTGAGAGAGTCGGAAGCGAAGGGAAGTGATATTCAAACCAATCCATTCCAGCTCCACTGGGTACCACTTTCTCACTGGATCTACTCCCTTGCTCCATTTAAGGGGTGGCAGATAAACTTATGGAAGCCTCCAACCCTTTAAGCATTTACGGGATGTTTCCCAGAGGTTTTCCCATTTCTATTTAATCTTTTAAGCACAGACGGCAAGAAGACTGGCAGGAGAGCAAAGCAGCTTCTACAAGGAACAGACAGAACACTGGGACAACTGGGAACAAAAGGATGGACCCCGGCTGTGAGCGCTACAGTCCCGGAGAAGGAAGCAACATCACTAAAAAAAAAAAAATAAAATAAAATAGGAGATGTTACCTTTCTACCATGCGATCCCGATGCCTCTTCTTTTGCCTCTCTTGAGTTTTCTTGCCCGCCTGCAATTTGCGTTTGATTTGACTGATCTCTTCTTGAATTGTTAAAGCACCTAAGTGTTTAAAGCAGGTTGTATTTCAGGGCACTACTTGAGGACACCACCTGATTAAAGAGAATTTCCCTAGACAAGTTTAGTCGTCAGCCCGACTAACCCGCACAACCTAGAGACACCGAAGAGTCAAGAAGCTGCTCCCACCGGCAGATAAACCTCTGGTTTATACGACAGTGTCACCCACCTCAAATTAGCTTTTTTTCAAAAAAAAAGTTGCACTGGGTGGAACTTGGTGGGTGGGGGGCAGAGGGGCAGAGGGGAGAACCACAGCAGACATCTGCGGTTTCCCAACTCTTTATTTTAATTACTGTTTACTACTACTGCTTTTACAAGGTTTTAAGTATTAATTAGTTTGATTATTTTAAGTACCACCCGCTCTGATTTGTGCAGCCTCAAAGCTAACACCAGCAATGCGATAAAGCTGGGGTAAGGAGAAATCAATTTACACCACTTATTTTTTGGGGCAGAAAAGCTGCTTCTCTGTCCGCCCACCCCGGCATATGTGCGGGCGCTTTCTGGGATCAAATTTACGCTGCCCACCAGTGGGACGGGCAGCAAGGACCCCCCACCCATCTTGCTAACAGGTTTCTTTCCAGCCCTCCTGCTTCTCTAAGCTCCCTTCGGGTATCGCAGTGCTTCTCCGACCTGTCCTGTCTCTCCAAGCTGGGAAGCTCTATCCCAAACAACTTACCCAAAGTCAAGTCTACGGCACAGCGGGAAATTAAATCTGGTTCCCTAAGCCCCAGGCTAGCAAGCTTCACCAACCTACCTTGACCAAGGGATCCAGCTCCTCCCTAGCAGGGCTTTTACAGCATTTCCTTATCCCTGAGCAGACACAAAGGATGGGATTCATCTGACTAAATGCGGACATTACAGCTGAGCTAGTCCCCTGGCCCGCCCGTCAGCAGAGATCTGACAGGTCTCATCCTGAAGAACCAGTGAATCGTGGCCCTGGGAAGGGCCCCCCGTTTCTCTCTGCCGGCTGTGGCGATGCAATCCCACCGGAGCCTCACACGCAAGAGCCTCGACTGCTCTCGCTCGTAGGACCCCGCCTCCGATATCTGTCACAGCACCAGACCAGCGTCCCCAGGGGACTGGGGGACACGCAGAGAAGCCAATTTGCCCTTCATCGAGAAGGTGCAGAGGTTTAGCTCAGGTCACCAAGACGCGACGAACCAGAAGGGACAGCGAAGCCACAAGGCAAACGGAGCGAACGGACTCTTAAGAACCAAAGGAGCCTGACTAAACTCATCAGACTTAATTGGAAATATGTCTTCTGGAGCCCTCAACGGGAGGGGGGTTATGCTCCGCGCGGAGCTGTGGAGCACAAACGAGCCGTCACGCACACCAGCTCACCTTTCTCCGAATCTTTTCCTTCTTCGTCTTCTCCCTCCTAAAAATGCAACATCGGAAAGTTAAAACCATGTAGAGAAAGCGAACGTCTGGAGGCTGGTTTGACATCTTCACCAGCATCCTTCCTCTCAAACCCTCCCCAGGCACTCAAAGCACCGCGCGGAGGAGCGACATCTCCACCGGATCTGGCCGCTCCACGCTCCCTTAGCGCAGGGGAAGCCGGCGCGGCGCCCGTTTGCTCGGCAGGGGATGCTTCTACAACACCTGCAGGTCTTACATCCGAGAGATCTCCCTCCACCGAGCTGAAGGGCGATGGCGGAGGGGTGCCTTCAGTCCCCATCTAGAGCGAGGCAACGTAATCCCACAGTTCGGGATGCTCCACGTCGCAGGCAATTGATTTTGGGGTTTTCCTTACTTAAAGCTTTTTGTGCACAGGCATTTTATTGCATTTCGACACCATAAAGTGTCTCGCAGTGACATTGCAGCTGGTGGGTATAGCTGGGAAGCCCCCGTAATGTCCACACTTCCCTCAACAGAGCATTTTACTTCCATCCTCTCCCCGCTACTTGTCCGAGCCTCTGCCCCCTGACTCGGTTTGGGAATAATGCAGGAGTCCAGGGATCTGCCCTCACCAGCTCCTGCACCTCCAACCAGGACTACAGCTTTTAATCATGATGAAGTAGTTTTCAAGAGTTACTTACGCCTCTGGAGCCCTCCTTCTCCTCTTTTTCTCCCGATTCTCCTTCCGTTCCCTCCTCTGAAAGAAACAACACAGTCAGCATAAAAAGACATAACCCAGACCGACGCCAACAGATTTGGCACCACGTTAAACCCGAGGCAAAGCACGACGGCTCTGCTGGAAATAAAGAGAGCAGCGGCTTTATATTGCTCCCGAGCACACCGCAAAGCCGCTCCGCTCTTACCGTTGTCAGAGTCGGAGTTATCAGAGCCGTCCGTCTTCGCAGCCTTGCTGTCGGGTTCATCGGAGCTGTTTGTTTGCTTCCGCTTCTTCATGGTGGGATCTTTTTTGATTTTCTTTTTCTGGGGCTGCGAGAGAAGAGAAAGGTTAATCTCTCCGCAGCCAGCAACGTCTTATTTTACTCCTTTTTAGCAAGTTAAGCTTCCTGCATTAAGTTTCTGACAGGCAGAGTTGATCAGGCAGGACTTAATTCACCACACCTCTATCCCGTAACACAGGAAATGAAGCTGTGAAGGACTGCAATATTCTCCTACCTTCAGAAAACAAAGTGTTTAGGATTACAACATCCCACGTATCAATACTGCTGTGCAATTCAGTGCAGCCTCCTCCATCTGGTTAGGAGAAAACATGCTACAAAGCCAATAACGCACAGAATTATGTATTATTGCTTCCCAGAGTGTATTTTGGAGCCCCTCATGGCAGGACGCGTGGGTCTGTTGGGAAATAAGTCTCTATTCGAGAGAGCAGGTAGGAAGATATCACACGAGTACTTACTTTAAAATCCGAGTCCCACATTTTCCAGTTTCTCCTCATTCGTTGTTTCATCATTCCTCCTCCGTAACGCATATTTCCCGAGAAACCTCGCATTCCCTGGAACATGCTGAGTTCTGGGATAATGTTGTGGGAGAAGAGGGAAGGAAGCCTGGAGGAGCCGTGGGGACCGAGACCCCGCGATCCCATCGATTGCGGAGGCTCGTTCCACTGTCCGCCCATGCGCCCGGGATAGGAAGACGCCATGGGTCTGTTATTGCGTCCGTCTCTACCCCAATTCTGACCCCGTTGACCAAAATTATCCCGTGCTCTGTTCTGGTATTGATCCCGGCGGTTCCCGTAGAAGTTGTCATAGTGACCTTCATAGGCGTTATCGTTGTCGTGTTCGGACTCGTTGTAATCGTAGCCGGATCGGTACATGTCGCGGTCGTTCATCGAAGACCTCGAATCGTAGGATTCGTACGAGTCGTACCTGCAAGAGACGCGTCGGCGAGACACCACTGAGAAACGGCAGCAGGGGTCAAACAACAAAACCCTTCGAAACAGATTTTTAGGTTTATTTTTTCAATTATCAGACGTTTCACTCAACATGTGACATATTTCACTGTGTGGTGGGACAGGACATGGACCGGCAAGAGCTGGTGATGGAGTTTCAAGGTTTCAGTTCCAGTGGTGGAAGAACCAGAGACCTTTAGACACGGGAAAAGCCTGATGCCAGGGAGCCCCTCAAACCATCCATTTCTTTCAGAATTACCAAATGTTTTAAAAGAAAAAAAAAAAACCCACATTGAGCAAAGGTTCCTTCACTAGCTGAGGGTTATCAGTTTGTCCCCGCTCCCAAATGTCTGTTTCAAAACGAGCTGTAGGAGCAGCCGAAGCAAACAAGAGCTGCTCGTCCTTGCAGCAAGTTTCACCTTATCCAGAAACACTTCCACGAACAGCGAGATTTTACTCCTCGGCTATTCAAGGAGCACCTTGGCACAACCAAAGGCCTATTCCAGACCCATCCTTCCTCACTCCCTGTATGCAATCCATCCATTAACAAACTCTTTTCCCAACTGGAAACCCAATATATGCCCCAACTATTTTAAATCTCATTTTTTCCTCCTGGAAATGAGGCCGCAGAGGATTTTTAACTTTGTATTCTGCAATACTAAAACTGTGGCACATGCTTCGTACTGGAATTTTAAGGCTTTGCGTGCTTGCCGGCAGTGCCTTGACTGACAAGGCAGGCGAGGAGGAAACCCGGTGCTCAAGAAAAGATCATGATGCTGAACTAACAAGCCTCGTCAAAGCACGACCCCCTCGCCGCTGCGCTTTACGGCGAGACCTCGAGAGCATGGAGATAGGAATCAGCGGCAGGGAGAAAGATGTTATCATGGCTCCAAGGTCAGAAGAAAGTCACCCCGCTGATACAAGGAGAAACGTTGGAGCTACAAAATCAGGTCGGGGACCGATGGAGGAACTGCCAGCGTCCGGTTACGTGTAAGCCGGAGCAGCTGGAGGGGGAGCAGCTCCTTTTCTGCTCCGTTATAGCACAGAGCCGACGTTCTCCAAGTGATTTATCTTCCTCTTACTGCGTTTCTCGTTATTTCCTGCACAGCACAGGAAATTTTTAGCTTTTTAATAAAGCCTATCCCATTCCCAACTGGTACGGCGATGCCGAATCGGTGGAAACGCGCTGCAGGCAGGAGCGCGTCTGCGAGCAGCCAACTGCCGGTGCACGAGATCAAAGCGGAGAAGCCCAAAACGATGTTTGAAGGGACAAGAATCCGGGGAACGATTCGGCAAACCCTTTCCAGCATGGTTAAACCAAGCAAGCGACTGAAACACATCGATTTGATATAGTAGTATGGACGTATCATTTCGTAGGAGAGTTACTGTTTTGGAAGTGTAGAAGCAGAGTAGAAAACAGTCACATCGCATTTACTAATATTTACTCCTGAATTTTACTTTGTCCCATGTTATTTGAGGCATTAAGAACCTGGAGTAACTAGTCACCCCAAGTCCTGGCTCAAAACTCACAGTGCATGTTAGTAAATAAGAAATCTTTGGGGAAAGGATCCTGTTTATTAGTACTTAAACATTAACACAGATCAGCAAGGAGTTGACTATGTCATAGAGCTGAGCATCTACTGCGACACTGGCTACAAAAACCTCACTGCAGCAGCAGAGGTCAATCTATTAATCAAAATTAGTAATTTAAACTCAGGTTAAGTATGAAATCGCACCTTGTTTTCCTTAGCACTGCTCTACAAGTACATAAGCTCGTGAGAACAAGCAATAAAAAGGGTTCCTTAGAATAATTATTTTACTGAAGAACCCTAAATTTTAGCCACTGCTGGAAATGCTGCACTTAAGGTCCCAAATTCAGATTTTTTTGCAAGACGCAGATGAAAACGTAGTGTAAAATCCTATTTTACAGTTACAGCAGGTGAGAGGAGAGGCTGAGCCAGCTCTGGACGCTCACTTGAGTCACAACGCTGGACAAGGCAAGAACGAGACCAGCGAGGAAGAAACCAAGCAGCAACGACTCTTAACGAGCAGCAGATCATTACCGCGTCTCCTCACCTCGTGCCCCGCGCTCACCTGTCTCCGCCAGCTCCGTAGTGTCCTCCTTGCATCGTGTCCGTGTCCATGTGCGACACCATGTCCAAGCGCTGGTTCATTTTCGTGATGACGGCGTCGGCGTTGCCGCCGCCCGAACCGTCGGGGTTCATGTCAACGTCCGAATTGGCCATTTCCCAGGAGTTCGACGTGGCCATGCCGTATCCGTAATTACCCGAGTTATCCTGGCCATATCCATAGCCGTAACTGTATCCCTCATAACCTGGAACAAGAAAAATAAAAAAGCTGGGTTTATTTCCAGTTATCCGGCTTCGCTAATATTTTAATTCGAATTAAGATGCCCCAAGCAATCACCACAGGGAGTGAAAATTAAAAAACGCCCAAATTTCTATTTAAGTCACCTATAAACTTTGAGCTGTTGAGCTCACAAAGGTTTAAGGGAACAATTTGCTCACGTAAGTCCCATAAAACACAGCCACAGCCTATAGCTTCCTCCATCTAACCTGCTCCAGAGCAGAATAAACACGGCCAAGGCGGAGCCTCCATAAAAACCTGTTTTGGGTTAACACAGAGATACCAAAGAACCATTTTAAGCTGGTTTTTAGTTTGATACGAAGTTGTCGGTAGCCAAACGAATGCAGCTAGGACATACCTTCGGCAGGACCTATATAAGCTGCTTTATAACCCCTTAAATCCAAAGGGATGACGCTACAGCGCATACCTGTCCACTCCAAAGACAGCACAGCCGAACACTGAAAGCAAAAACACTTTCAGCCTAGCGTTCCCCACACATTTTAAATCAGAAAGCGACAGAGGCTTCTCCTCTCGCTAAAGAAGCCAAAACTGTCATAAACAGAAAAAAAACCACCGTAGGAATAACACACAGAGCCAATTAAAAGCCTGCTGAGGCTTAAAATTTAGGTTCTTCTTCTCCCTGACCTTTTATTTGGCTGCTGGCACACGCAGAGAGGGAGTTTGTATTTCTGCTGTCTCCCCAAGCCTCGATTTACATCGTCACCTGCCCTGACTTCACGCGGGTTTTCCAAGTAGCAGAACGGGGTTTTTTTGGGGTGAAAAAGAACCCCAAAAACCCAATATTCTGCCTAGAACAGTTTTCCTGTGCAACTAGTTACAGTAGCAAAGTTTTCTGTTGGCTTCAACTTGAATTTTTAAAATAAAAGAAGAAAATCGTTGAACAGTAAGAGGCTACACGGGGTCCGTGCTGCGGTGGGGACGGCGGTTGTTCGTCACCGACCTCGGCACATCTCCCTCAGGCTCAGGAAACGGATCTGAAGTGGAAGGTAATAAACCATTACTCCAGTTTTTAGCGTACTTGCCTCTGTTCGTCCCAGAGTTCCAGTCTCCATAACCTAGAAAAGAGCAAAAAGCAATTAGAGACGAGTTTATCGTTATCGTGGCTGAAGAGATTCTCGTTACCCAGTGTGAAAACGGAGCGACGCCCCGAATAATCCATGAGTCTTGCACCAAATATCAAAGAAATCGGACCTTAATGTCACCCCAGCAATGACATGTCCCCGCAAGAGCGACACCCTTTACTCATCTTATGCAAAAGGTTTTTATTTCAAGCTGAGCTTCCAGCAATCATTTCCATGTCTGAGCATTTTGGGAGCAGAGGTGAAGCGTTTGGGAAAGCGAGAGGGATCTTGCACAGAATAAACTCCGCTCCAAATAACGCCTAAAAAGAGGGGACCAGGACATGTTAGGGAAGTTTTAATCCCATCGTCTGCCAACCTGCAGCCTCCCAGGACTGACATTCAGACGCCCTTTGGGGTGAAACGTATCTCGACGGCATCGCTGCACTTTGCCCTTGCAGGAAACCAGTTGGAAGATGGAGATACCAGGATGGAAGGACGCGGTCCGGAGGAGCCCTGGCCGGGACACCGACATCCCGCGCTCCCCAGTCCAGAAACCGTTACCCCAACGTTAATTTTCAAAGTAATTACAGCCTCGTTAGCCAGGGTACGTGTGCGCACCACTTGCCTTCTTACCAATCCACACGCACACTATGGGAAAGCAATGTTACCTTGCAGGTTCTTGTTGCAATTTCCCCCTTAATTAGAAACTCCTCTTCACAGAAGAAAGGTAATTTATTAATTCCCCCCCGCCCCCAGTTACAGCCTGAGCCACTTCCAGCCAAAACAGCTGACACTGAATATAGCAGCAAATCGCTTCCTACACCCACCGAGCTCCACAGGTGAGCCGAGAT